AAAAACAGAGTTATTTGCTTTGAGCACCTTTAATCTGGAGCTCAGCTCTGTGAGGATCCTCGGGAACAGTTCTCCGGGCTTCCTGAAGGACAGCGGCGTGTTCGCTGTCAGGATGAAGCTTCAGTGATGCTGAGGCTCTGGTAGAGTTCCTGTCCAGGCGTGCTTCCCTGCACTGGCGGCGTGTTTGGATCATTGCCGTGCTGAAACATGAAGCTGCTGTCAGTCAGATGTTTGTGATGGTTTTGGTGCTGGATTCAAATCTGATAGTAAACTTTCATTTTGTCAGTTTTGACAAGATCTCAGACCTGCAGCTCCGAACGTCGACAGACGCATCGCGTTTATGATCAGATGATCACACATGAAGATGAGCTGTGGTCACAGCTGAGTGAAGAGCTGATACGAGAGGATTCAGCTGAACTAAGCCACACACTGCGTGGGTCACATGACACGCCTGCCGCACGTGCAGAAGTACGTATACTCTTCAGTGAAGTAGAAGTACACACGTGTGATAAAAAAAGTACCAACTGTGACCTTTGACCTGCAGGCAGCTGTGTTTGGATTGTTTCACTGTTTGCAGGAGTTTCAGTAGCAACAGATCATCATCTTCATCGTGAAGAGGAAACCTGTGACGCTCTAAGAGGCAGATAATCTGAGCTGCTGATGATCCCACGTTTGGTTTCTGAGCTGAAGCTGCCACAATTCAAACCTTTGGTGTGTTTGACCTCTCAGGACAGAAATGTGTTCAGATATTTATGTGTCTGAGACGTTTCTATTAAAGCGCCACCGAGAACGCTGAATCTGCAGATGTTTTCTGTTCTTCGTTTTATTCACAGATGCAGTGAAGAAGAGTCAGGAGCAGAGAGACGTGCGGTAAAGACGTCGAACTCGAGCCTGGGCCGCTCTCAGCTGTACGGCCCGAGCTCAAGCGTTATTATTAATAATTATATTTGTGTTATTGTTGCCACATCAGCCTCCAGGAGCCCAAAATAAAAAATGACAGATGATGAATAAAGATGACATCATGCTTGTCTGGTGATTTTCACTGCAGACGGACGCAGCGAAACATTTATTATTGCTGTCAAACATAACCGTCTATGACTCACGTCCTCCACGCCGTAACCTGTCATATTGCTATTAACGAAACCAGTGACTGTAAGTGAACAGGAGGAGCCTGCTGATGTCACTTCCTGCTCTTTGGAACATTTGTTTGTGCAACATTTTCTGCTGAAACCTGCGAGTCAGCATCGTCCATCCTGTTCCCAGCAGCTCTGTCTGATTCCTCACACAGTGCACAAACCCACAGGAGAGGAGGAGGAGGAGGAAGGCATGAACATGGCCGAGCGCCTCCTCGGGTTAACGGCTTCTCTCCTCACTGAAAAACAGAACTGTCCCAGCCCGGCTCGCTGTCACACCACGCCACAGCGGGCCGCCATCAAAAAGCTCCAAATAAATAAATAAATAAAGACCGTTTGCATCACACAGGTAAAGAGCAGAAGTTTCAGTTCTTTTAATGAACTTCATCGTCTGAATTATCTTTTGAGGAAAACCTCATAACCTCCAGAGATGACCCAGTCATGACGTCTGCTCTGAAGCACAACCAGCTGACCTGGAGCCTTTCATTCAGAGTTTTATACACTGTTTGTGCATCACACCTTATTTTTGAATGAAGAATCATTATCATTGATAGGAACAGGTCAGGATCACTTTAATTTCATCCTAACGATTATTTTTAAAGGACACAGAGCTGCGTTTGCTGCTTTTCACTCATGGGTGCAGTGCAAATAAATAAATGTCACATTGAGGAACGACTCGCTCCAACTTTCCTTAGTCTGCATTGCCCTCTGCTGGCTGCACTCTGTTACTGCAGCATCCTGTCCCGTCACATGTGACGGGGCTCATTTTTGCTCACAGTCACTAACCTGCTGTTGTCGTGGCAACGGCGCTGGATGTAAACACTCTCTGCTGGGTTCTGGCTTTGATGGAGAACGTGCACAAATAAAATAAAAATGCAGGATTAGAGTTAAAGCTGAAAGACACCAGGCTCCAGCAGCCGAACTCAACCATCACCTGCGGCTCACGCTGCATCCGTGGCTGCTGTTACACTTGATGTGCGCGTCCACAGGACATTCCTCATCGGCGTTAAACTAATTCCCCATCCCTCGAGTTCTGAACGAACAGCTGATCACAAAAACATGGAATATTGGGAATCAAACAACAAAACAAACCCTGTGTGCTGCTCCGTGACCAGCAGCCCAACCCCACCTTCACCTCCTCCACCCGGGGCACCTCAACGCACCTTTCAGTTTTTTATTTATTTATTCCAAACATGAGTCTATATATTGAACATCAGAGGGCGGCACCCCTCCTACAGTCACCCCACAAGTCAATATCAATAATAATAATAATGATAACAAGAGAATCAATAATGTCCTGCTGATCTGAGGGGAAACTGAAAACATCAGGAAACACACACACACACACAC